GGCCCCCCATCACAGTCAGGAACGATAATGTGGCCCCCAGAGAAAAAAGTTTGGTGACCCCTGACCGAGAGAGTCACGTCTATTTATTTATTTGTTTATTTATCACAGACTTTATTGCCCCGTGCATCACACTGCTGCTTTTCATCGCGGACACATTTGTCCCGTATTTTCCTCCACAACTTTGTGCACCTCTCGACCGGCAATCCGGCGTTTGCGGCGATCTCCCTCCGTGAATCCAACCCGCTTCTACAACTCGCCAATGACGGCTTGTGTAAGCGGTCATATTTGCGCATTTCTTCCGACAAAAGTTCTTCAATCTGATTCATTCTCTCGTAAACATTCTTCGTTTTAATAACGGCGGTATCGGGCTATGAAAGCGGAAATGTGAGACTTTGTAAAGGACGTAGTTAGCGGACCAATCGCAGCCTGGTGCGCTGCGGGAGGCTAAGCCTATGTAACGGAGTTAGAAACTGTCATTTTCAATGCATTGTATCTTATTTTTGATTATTATTCAACAATCTTGTTGAGCGTGTGTGTGAGAATTTTATTTTGATGAGTTAAATTTGCGGAAATTGCGATTCATCTCTCCTGCGCCTCCTAGGCTTCCGTAGTCCTGTTTTTCCTTCACAGAAGCGTCACTCTGTTGAAGACCCTGTGTGTAGGGAGCTGATGTGCGGAAACCAGAAGGCAATGTCTGTGTTTTATTGTCTTCTGCAGGAGCAAATAAATGCTGAAAAGATCAGTACCTGAGTCGACTACTTCCATGCCCTAAACACATCTGTTACACTGGTGCCGTGACCCGCATCTTCAGATCAGCTTGATGCTCGTGCCGTGGATGCTGTGCTGACGTCCTGATCCGTACTTCGTACTCAAAGAAAAACAACCAAAAAATGTATCCCATAAGGATGAAGTGGTACGAGAGCAGCGCAGGCCTCTCAACCCAACAACTGGCAACAGGGTGCCGTGCACACTCCACAAGACCCAAACACAAAGTGCAATGCAGTACAGGCTCATGACACACACAAAAAAACAATAAGCACAGTGAAACATTATACCAACACACGTTTTTTTAGCCATAAAAAGGCATAAGCCACCCACTCATAGTATTAAAAAGTAACAACATAGGACCCAGAGTTACAACCGCCTCAACCTTGAGCTATTCCTGGACAACATCCTCCCTGCACATGGTCTGTATAAGCCTATTCACAGGATTGATTAAGCGACCAAATCTTGACCTGACCTGCGCATTAAAATGACATGGGTGTGCGGATGAAACCTGGACCACAGTATGCAAAGAGTCAGACGTGTTATCTGTCTGTGCCATGGTATCGAGTGCAAAGTCTGACTGCCTAACATCCGTCGAGACGTCCGCAGCAGTCGAAGGGCAAGAATAACAAGTCACAGATTGATCTGTGGTGCTGCCCTCAAGTGAGATAGTTGCGTTCTGGGGATCAGAAGCAACACTCATGTCAACAATGCACTACTCAGCCACGCTTGGCCCAGACAACTGAGTAATCCATTCAATGGTTCTGCTCTCCGAATCCACGGGCATGGTCTGGCCCGTGTTTCACCCTCCTGGATTTGGGACAAAACCGCACCTATGCCATCCAAGGACGCATCGGTTGACAGCATGTAGGGACGGTTGAAATCGGGGTGAGCACTGTGGACCAGTGAAGCTTTCAGACTTTCAAAAGCCTGTCCCTGCTCAGGTGTCCAATCAGCCACACACAGCTTCCTGCTCGACAGTTTGTTTTTGGGTTGTTTACCTCTCCTCTTTGCACCTTTCAACAGGTCGAACAGCGGCTTGGCCATAGCCGAGTAACTGGGCATGAAGTGTTGATAGTAATTTACCATCCCTACGAAAGACCGTATGCGCTTTGGGGACGGAGTCACACCATCAGACTCCATGAGGTCAGTGCTCACCATGTTAGTGATGCTTTCAACCTTGCTGGGGTCTGTTAAAACACCATTCGCATCAACAATGTGGCCAAGAAACCTTACAGACCTCCTGAGGAGGAAGCACTTTTTAGGAGATAACTTCAAGTTGTGTCTACGCAGCCTCTTAAACACCATCTCCAGGCGCAGCAAGGCAGTCTCCTCATCAGGTGCAAACACTAGGAAGTCATCCAAGTAGCATAAGAGACTCAAATAGTTTTGGTCACCAAAAATGCTCGTCATCATGCGCATAAAGCTCCCGGGACTGTTGCAGAGGCCCTGCGGCAGACGGTTGTACTCATACAGACCCATGGGGGTGGTAAAGGCAGAGTACTTCCTGTCGTCCTCGTGGAGTGGCATGTTGTAAAAGCCAGAAGTCAGATCCATTGTGCTGAAAAGGCAGTTCCCCCCCAGCCCTGCTAAACAATCTGCCTGGTGTGGAAGAGGATGACCATCCTTCAGTGTCCTTTTATTCAACCAGCGAAAATCTGTACAGATGCGTAGATCCTTGTTCTTCTTCAACACAAGCACCAATGGTGAGGCGTATTCACTAGTTGACTTTCTGATGATCTCCTTTTCCTCCATCTCGCTTAGTAACTGGCACAAGTTTTGGTACTGGCCAGGGGGCACTCTCCTGTATGGGAGTCTGAATGGTCTGTTATCTGACAGGTGTATGCGATGTACAAAGTCCTTTGCCTCTCCACAATCGAGATGATGGTGCGAAAAGATGTCCTCATACTGCATCACAAGGTCAGTCATCTTCGTCTTACAGTTTACAGACACTTCCCACGACTCAACGTCAACAGTACTGAGCCCAATTGAGCAAAGCTTTTCCATGGCGGAGCCTGCATCAGTAATAGGAGGCATGGCTGATTGAGTGCAGCCGGCCACCTCTATTGGTTCAACAACATCCATGTCCTCGAGCGCTGCACATGTAAAAACATCAGCTAGTTTTGCATGTCGCCTCAAGAGCACAGGTCTGTCAGATGTATTGATGAGCTTCAGCGGAACCTGCCTGTCTCCCCAAAGTGTGGTTACAATCTTTGCGACCAGAACCCCTCTGGGAGCCGAGCGGGATGAAGTGGGCTCTGCCATGATGGTGCTACCTGGAGAAATCCAGAAAGAAAGCCAGCCGTAAGCAGACTGCAAGGTGGTCATCAGTCATGGTGGATCTGTATTTTGACTTGATGATTTTCATATGTGAAAAGGCAGACTCACACAAATATGTTGATCCAAAAAGTGTAGTCAAATTCTCTGCAGTTTGTCTGAGGTTGGGGTACTTCTCTTTCTGCATTAGATTCCAGAATTGGACATTCATGTCAGGTGTTGCTCTGGATTTGAGCTCAATGTCATTCTTCAGTGTGAGGATCTCATTCTCAACAGCACAGCTATCAGGGTTGAAGAGTGATGCCACTTTGGACGTTATACAATCCACATCTATATTTCCCCCAAATGGAAAACAGATAGCTGACAACAGGCTCAATGGACGCAAAGTCAGTGAAGCGCCTGTCAAATTCGGACAAGATGCTCTGCACTTGCTCATCATAACGTGCACTCTCAAGCTCCGCCCAGTCTTTGCCCATAGCCTGGACTGACAACTCTCACGCATTGGCCGTGAGACCCACGCATTTGATCGGTTTCACACGCGCTCACGCCACACCTCCGATTTCTCACGCCAAAAAAATTGGGAGACTACCATTGAAAAAGAGGGGCGCCAGAACACAACAGTAATGTAAGGTTCCCTTTCCTGTCCATGGACACGTTTACAACGCGCTCGGTATCGCGCTGCGCGGATACGTCCGCGCGCTCCCTACAGCGGAGCAGAAAGCGCGTCGTCGGTGTTCGTCTGCACCCCCCACCCCCCTCTGCCAGTCTCACGCCAAGGTTTTTGAAAAAGTCGGCAGCTCTGTTTCCCTGTTTCTAAATAAATCTATTATAATCAAATTGATGTCTCGAGTTCCATTATCGAGAGTCGCTACAGTAGCGCGTTAGGCTGCGCTGGTAGGCGCATTGCATTATGGGACAATCTTTGGATCCATTTAAATCCCTATCTGTTATGTTCATGTTCTAGTGTTTAAGTCTATGTGAGTTTTTCTAGGTTCTGTTGTGTTGTGCTCAAATGTTACTGTTTAATGTGTAAGTGTGTGAGCACCATGACCCAACTTAGCTCAACAAAGTGTCCTGGGTTCAAAAATTCTCGCAGTCAACTGCAACCCCAGTTGCAACTCCAGACCGCGCTGCGTTAGATTGTCCCAGACTCGGGCTAGCAATCTCATCCATGTTTACTTTAACGGCCATTTACAGCCAATAGATGTACTTGCGTTGTGTATTTAGAACCAAAACCCAACAAAAAATAAAAGAAAACCAAAAAATATATATATATAAAATTCTTGATTGTCAAAAGTGGATTAACTTTTTTAAAACACTCTGCCCTGGTTCACAATCTTTTAAAAACCAGACCATATAAATATGACCATAGACCTTGTGTCAATTTGGAATGGTAAATGGTAATAGTAAATGGCCTGAACTTGTATAGCGCTTTTCTAGTCTTCTGACCACTCAAAGCGCTTTAACACTACATGACATGACATCATTCACCCATTCATACACTGATGACAGGAGAACCATACACAGTGACACCTGCCATCAGTAACTACCATTCACACACTGTAGTCGCATCTACAGGAGCAATGTTGGGTTGCCCAAGCAAGTGTCTTGCCCAAACAGGTTAGCCGGGCCTGGGATCGAACCGACAACCCTCTGATTGGAGGACGACCGTGCTCCCCACTCACCCACAGTTGCCCGTAATATTTTCTATGGCGTGCAATCGATTAGTGCTCATCTATGATAAAATTCAGTGGGAGTGAATGTAACGGAGTTAAAAAATTTGCCTCAGAGGTCTTTACAGTCTGTACACATGTGACATCCCCTATCCAGAAACCATCACATCGACACAGGAAAAACTCCCTAAACAATGAAAAAGCATTCGATGGAGAGAATAGAAAAGGGAAGAAACCTCAGCGATAGCCTGACGTCAAAAATTGGAGTGTTGAAATTTCAGGGTTAAAAATTTCCGAGTTGATTCAGTGTTGGAGTTATTTGGCAGAGTTGATCATGTCAGTGTTAACCCAACTCCGCAGAGATGTAATTAAGCTCCGCCCATGTCTTTCACCTCTTCGGTTAGAGACAGAGAAGACAAGTCTGCGCCATTTTCTACCTCTCATGCAGTACTACACGGTAAGTGCAATTAAGTTAAACTTTCTGAAACAATTAAAAATTAATGCTGAGAATTTCAGTATGAACAATTAAATATCCACAGAGAATATATGCCTTACACAGCCGTGTTTGTTGCCAGGACTGAACAGTAAATTGGTCCTCGTGGTTAGCTAGCTAGTTAGCAGTGTACGGTAAGCTAGCTAACAGTCTGTTACTAAAACTATCTCCAACTTTATCAATAATGATTTAACAATTCACAGGCATACTCAAAGCTAGGAAGTACAAAGCATTATGATTTTTAACTATATAAAATCTTGTTTGAGGCTGGAGCTAAGGTTTTTTTTTCACTTTGAAGATCTTCAAAGGGACCTCAAAAAACGTGTCCCAACATGCAGACGGTGTTTCACGTGTCTAGTTCACGTGTCTAGCTATCCATCACATTCTATGACCTGCAGTGTTGGAAAAAATACTAATTTACTTAGGTAAAAGTATGTAAGTATTACCATTACTATTATTACCAAGTTAAAGCTAAAGTACAACATTAGCAGAAAATCGGGGTGTGACTGATATATATGAAACACATTTAAGTGCATCATTGAATACTTATGAGTCGGTGCATAAGCAGCCGATTTTCTGGAAAGTAGTACTTTTTCCAATACTGCAGGTCACACAATCTGATGGGTCACCAAAAATGGTGTAACACTGTCGACTTTTTACCGTTCTTGCTTGAATGTTTATTTACTTGGTTAAATTTCATTGCATGTCTCAGTCAAAATGCTGGTCCAGGTGAAGTACAGCCAACAGCAGAAGTATGTAAAGTTGGATGAGGATGAAGGACTGTCTCACTTTCTGCAATTCCATGAAAAACATGGAATTGCAAAAAAGGTTTTAAACCACATCCATGTTCTTTTTAAAGCTCTTTACATGCCTTTATCAGACTCTTATACTGTAAATGGGTGTACATTGCTAAACATTTTCAGTTCTGCAATGTGTGCTTCATAAAGTATATATAATAATATACACCAAAACAGTCAATAAAAAAAAGGCAATCATCAATTTTTAAATTTGGACTTGGAATGGGTTTTGTGAGGGACAAATGCTCTATGTCTATTTAATGATTATACATTGTTGGATGTATGTATTTAACATGAACAGTTATTGGCTGTGAGGCAAGAAACAGTGCGGACTTCAAAAGCACATTCAGTTTGACCTTATCTATTCCAGTCATGGAGAGATTTGGCCTGCCACCTGATGCAAATGTTATATACAAGGATGCAACAGGGACAGAAGTTGATGCAGAAATATTCAGCGACCTCGTTGGACAAGGCAATGTGGTCCTGACAGTTTTCTCAGATCAGGGTGAGATATCAAGGCAGGTATTATAAAGCACTCTACACCTTAGTATATCATTTAATAATTGAAATGTTATTTATCTATTGCTTTAGAATTCTCTGATTTCTCCTTGTCTTCTGAGACGTCTGACTCAAGCTTCAGCTCAAGTGCATCAACTATAATCCTAGATGTTCCTAACAAGAGACAAAGAATTGAGGATACACGTGATGCTGTGTCTGCTAAACAGGTTGCTTAATGCTTTCACATTTTTTCACTCTGAGTCACTAGAAAAGCTGTTTATCACCATGTTTTGTATTCTCATGTTTTGGTTTTTAATAAGTTGATAGAAGCTGTGCTCAGAGGCAAGTCTGGAGGTGAAGATGTACTACAGGAGTACCAAACAACAGAAACCCTAACAGATGCTGCAAGAAGACAAATGGTTAATATCCTGGTGGCTCACATGATTGACAATCATGGGTATGTTTGTTTCACATTGTTTTTATTTGTGCCAAATAAATGCATGACCATTGCATAAATGTACAAATTTACTAATTTAATATCTCCTCTCAGGCACTGCCCCACTAAAACAATCAGAGAAGATTATGCACGTGGGATAGTGATGCTGTTCCCTTCCCTTAAGGATCCATACTCCAAGAAGGGCTATGTAATAGGCATTATTATTGTTTAAACTTTCATGTCTTGTTGTGACCCAAAACTGTGTGGATGACATTGATATTTGAATTCCGTGAGATTTCTCATGAGCCTGGTATTACAACACATTTCTTTTTTTCATTTCAGGAACACTTCTATGATGCTGCAAGCAGCACAGGATACATTTCTTGGCGTCTGAAAACAGTCCAGAGAAAGATTCGTCAAGGATCTGCACAGCCACCAAATGGCCCAATTGACTTTTCTCCAGGAGGCCCAAATTGCCAAAGGACTGTTAATGTTGAACGGCAGCTTGATGATGATGCTTGCCAAGAGGCCATGTCTTTGCTTAACCATACAGCAGACAATTTCCTGATTTTCCAGAAGATGAGAGAGACCTTTCAGCATCGTCAGAAGCTTGTTAATGACCCAGGCAGAAGTGTTGATATACTCTCCAGCTTCCCAAGATTCCTGGATACAAAAGGATTGGTAAGTTTGGGATGAGATGTTTGGAATGGCTTGAAATTTGAAGTATTTCCAGTAGTAGTAGTAGTAGTAGTTGTTGTTTAATATCTTCTTTCCTAAAGGTGGACCAAGACTTCCCTCTCCTATTTGACGAAGACACATCCTCCAGACTTCTTCAGAAATGGGATTTGTTCTTCAAGCCAAATGTCATTAAAGAGGCTAAGCGGCTCCTTTCACCACCTCCAGGGGGACTGAAGTCTCCAAAAATTAGTGCATGTGATGCAGTTGAAAGTATTTTATAAGGTAATTATATTATTAAGGGGATTATAATAATTTGTCATGTCAACTTCTTAGCCACATATGTAAATGAGGGTTGTGGATTGTAATTATGTCTTCATTCCCATCTGGCACTAGCCAATAAGATGTTTAAATAATCACTTCTATAATGTTTTTTTATTTGGCTGCACATTATTCTTGTGTCTAATGTTCAGTTTTCTGATCTCAACCATAGTCATGCTGCAGTTTGGAGGAGCATCTCCGCAACCAGCAGGGTCGGCAGCCGTACCTCCTCGCTGTTGGGCGTCAGAGGAGCAAGATTGACAGCTTCTACATCACCATAGATCTCTCGTCTCATCCCATGCAAGGCAAACCGCTCCCTCGGGGCATGTGATGAACTTTTCAAAGCACATTTTGTGTTTAATTTGTCTTACGATGTGGCACGTGTGAATTTTTATACATTCCTGCAGACAACAGTGTATAACATTGATGTGGGGAAAATTAAGGAGTCACCCAGAGTTAAAGACTTGAGAGCAAGACTGCTTAACCAGCCAGTAGCATTCTCACCCTGTGAGTAAGAAGCTATAACAATGCTGACCTGTTTCATGTGTTGACAAATTAGCTATTTACAGAGAATTTTTATGACCATCATCATGCATTCAGAGTATTACGAAGTGCGGAAAGATGTTTACTAAAAATGTCTGGGCTTAAATTTCATAAACCGTTTCATAGTCAAAGCTCATACAATGTTTTGGATGAAAGTTTGTACATTATACCTTCATTCACAATGTTTTAATTCAACTGACTGCAAGGGAGAAAAGGAATACATGTTTTTGAAAATGTTTTTGTTTATTGTGATGAATTCTTATTAATATAAGTATATATATTTAATTAATACATTTAAAATTAATTAACATTTTTTCAGTGTAGATAATTGACATTAGGGAGTGTAATTAACACTACCAAAATAGTTAAAAAAATTAACTCGGAGCAGTGTTAGTTGTCTAATCCCTCAGTGTTACTTTACACTGTTTTGTGAGTTAATAAAGGAACTCTGGTAGAGTGTTAAATGTTTAACTATTTTGAAAGTGTTAATTTAACTCTGGAGAGTGTGGAGCTAAATAAACTCTCAAAAAGTGTTGAAATCAACTCTGTGGGAGTTAACTCAACACTGGACACTTTGCTGATATATATATATGTATGTACATATATATATATATATATATATATATATATATATATATATATATATATATATATATATATACATATATATAGGTGATATATAGGTGATGCTCTGTGTTCATGGATGGAGATGGCATCGTTCTCTCCATGTGCCACATCCCAATACAAACAGCAGGGTTGTTGCCATTGTGACGACCTGCTTACCTTTAAAGCATGTGACACCCTCCGTCCTTAGACCCTCGTTCATGTGAGGAAGGAACCTATAGAAGGACTATAGAACAGCTTTATCCTCTAGCAGAAGGCACCAGATAATAGGCGGGTAAACACACGTTTTCATCTCAGTGTGGTGATCTATGAAAAGTAATTGAATGACATGTTACAGGACTGTTGCAGGTGCAGACCCCACAATGAGATGAAGCCTTTTTAAAGTCAGACTTTATGCATGAAGGGTTGTTTATACTTGGTCCTGTAAAACGATCTGAATATGTCTAATGTTGACTGCTGTGATATGATGGCATCGCCTGGTTCTATCTAACACAGAGCCCGAGTTGGCTTTGGTACGTCAGGTCAGGTGATCTTCCTATCGGAGACCAATAAAGATGATGTCATCACCAAGTAGCCCTGTGAGTTCTCCTGAAGAAGCTGCTGGTGGAGTTTCGCCGTGTCAGTATGAGCACATGAGATTCCTAGGTGCTTTAGCAACGGCTACTTAAGCCTACAGATGATTTGTGTTTGTCGCTGTCTCCTTTTATCTTTCCATATGTGTGATTTAATGTCAAAATGTCTGTAAATTGTATGGAATCAGTAACCAATCACAACATGGAATGTGGGATTGACTTCAGTTAAAGAGTATCAAAAAATAGCTTTCATACATCACATTTTTCTTGTCTTTTTGCCAAAAAGAAGTAAACATTAAATGGAACATCGCTGTCAAATAAAAGCAGCACTACATCGGCTCTAGAGCTTGAAGGAAGGACGGTAAAAGTTTGGATTTGTTGTAATCTGTAACCTCACCGATGGAATAGCGAGATCCTACATTGGAACTACCAAACCACTCGCTGACCCTTTTTCAAATGAGACTATATGGTGTATGTGTGGTTGGTTAATGAGGAGTAGCAGTAACCAAACAGAACAACAACGCTGCATACCATGAGCGCAAAACGAATCCATACTGAAAAAATAACAAGGAGCCTCTCGTCTGTCAGAGGCGAAGGGAACAACTCAGTCATTCCACACATTCTTGGTCATTACATTACACGGATGACTTGCACTGTTTGGAGCCAGGTTTGCTTTTGAATGAAATCAAATGATCCGTTAGTTAGCACGAGTCGATCACTAATTAGCACGACCAAGTTTTCTGTTCCCTCGGTCAAACCGAGCAAATCATGAAAGCATCTAAAGCATCATTTCTTAATTGAACGTATTGTCTTTTACGTTGTTGATTCTGTACATCAAGCGCTTTCGGTCTCTCTAAAGGTTCTTCCCTTTATTATCGAATGCTTTTTTATTTTTGGGGGAGTTTCTCCTGTGCCGATGTGAAGGTTTCGGGACAGAGGATGTCACATGTGTACAGACTGTAAAGCCCTCTGAGGAAATTTGAATTGAATCAAATAATCATGGCAAAAACTGGCAGCGCCCCACTGCGAGGGCCACAAGCAAAGTATCCCAGACAAGTGTAGAAAATGTATGGGCTCATTTTAGGTGCCTCATCACTCTAATCAATCAGATTATATTTCTTTCAATGTGCTAGCCGGCAGTCGGCTTCATGGATGCATCATCATCCAATGAGATCTTGCTGATGAAAATAATGATCTCAAAATAAGTAGATAAAAAGAAGCCCAAAGAGTCTAATTGATACAAATGAATAGTTATCAGGATGTATGAGCGCTTATGTATGTGTATACATGTATGTGTAGATGACCATATAGAACTAGGAGTTTTATTATGTGTGTGTGAATGTGTACGGCTGGTCCCTGTGTATCTATTATTCATTATCGGACATTTGATCAATTGAAGCAGTGAGATATGGGACATCTAGAAGTTTATTAAGCGCCAAAAGAGAACTGTCTCTCTATAAAACGTAACCACAGCGCTGCACTGCCACCTACTGGGCATAGATAGCACCACACGCAAGCAATGTTCTTCGTTCCAAATGAATACAAATTACATGCAAACGTGACCATATGCGATGATATGATCATCATCGCGTGACCGCGATAATGGTCACATGATCATCATCGCGTGACGCACACGGAATGTTGTGTGCGTCACGCGATGATGGTCACATGATCACCATCGCGTGACGCACACGAAATGTTGTGTGCGTCACGCGATGATGGTCACATGATCACAGGTGAAAGATGACTAGAAATAGAATCCAATGAAGTCATCAGTCTCTCGAATATAATGCCTGGAAGTCATTAACATTCTTCAGTCTGAAGGAGGCACACACAAGAGACACACTCACACAAGAGACACACTCCATATTTTAGACTTTAATCTTCAATATTTGGACACTCGAAACTACAGAACTCACGGTAAATTCAACAGCTGGAATAACACAGGGATAACATTATATAAAAGTGAATAGAACCACCTGGAATATATCACAATGTCCATCCAGGGCCACAAGGTCATGGGGCCACATCACCCAACTCCTCCCCAAGTGGAGAGGACCAATGCAAACAGAGCCAGTCGCTACAGAGGGCTGATCAACCCGCGACAAAAGGAACAGCAGATATCACAAGAGACACTGCGCAGACCTTGGGTTCCACCGAGCCACAATGACTTGGGCAAACTATGTTTGTATGTGGAAACAAGTCGTCTGGAGAGGAGCGATGATGAAAGAAGAAACCTGGCAAAGGATGAATACCAGGATGTTCTGAGGACAAGACCGAGTGTATGGGAAGAGGTCGAGGCTGTACATGATGAGAGAAACATTCAGAGCAAACTTGTACAGAATGAATTGGGGGAATATCGACGTCTCAAAATGGAAAAACTACCTCCAGTTCGTCACCAACGCATGTCAAAGGAGGAATACCAAGATCTTCTGAGGACAAGACCGAATGTATGGGAAGAGGTCGAGGCCCTACACGATGAGAGAAACATTCAGAGCAAACTTGTACAGAATGAATTGGGGGAATATCGACGTCTCAAAATGGAAAAACTACCTCCAGTTCGTCACCAACGCATGTCAAAGGATGAATACCAGGATCTTCTGGGGACAAGACCGAATTTATGGGAAGAGCTCGAGGCCGTACACGATGAGAGAAACATTCAGAGGAAACAGAATGAATTGGGGGGAAAATCAACGTCTCAAAATGGAAAAACTACCTCGAATTCTTCACCAACGCATGGCAAAGGATGAATACCAAGATCTTCTGGGGACAAGACCGAGTTTATGGGAAGAGGTTGAGGCCCTACACGATGAGAGAAACATTCAGAGGAAACAGAATGAATTGGGGGGAAATCGACTACTCAAGCTTCGACAACAGCAGATATCACAAGAGACACTGCTCAGACCTTGGGAGAAGGGAACTGTTGTATATTGAGACAGTGAAAGAGTTGACAAACTTCAAGGTGTCCACCCAGGGCCACAAGGTCATGGGACCACAACACCCAACTCCTCCCCAAGTGGAGAGGACCAATGCAAACAGAGCCAGTCGCTACAGAGGGCTGATCAACCCGCGACAAAAGGAACAGCAGATATCACAAGAGACACTGCGCAGACCTTGGGTTCCACCGGGCCAAAATGACTTGGGCAAACTACGTCCAACTCCCCCACAAAAAGGGGTGAGGACGAAAACACAAACTGGCACTCAGTACAGAAGGCTGATCAACC